TTTTCTGCGTTGCCGGTTAGGGCTTGGGGTGCGAACTGGGTGAAGAAGGAAATGGAAATGAAGATTTATTTCAAAATTAATTTACATTTATTTCAAATTTAATTTGCATTTATTTCAAATTTAATTTATATTTATTTCAAAATTAATTTATATTTATTTCAATTTTAATGAAGATTTAATTCAAATTTAATGAAGATTTATTTCAATTTTAATTTGCATTTATTTCAATTATAATTTGCATTTATTTCAATTTTAATTTGCATTTATTTCAAATTTAATTTATATTTATTTCAAATTTAATTTATATTTATTTCAATTTTAATGAAGATTTAATTCAAATTTAATTTATATTTATTCCAATTTTAATGAAGATTTAATTCAAATTTAACGAAGATTTAATGAAGACTTGTTTCAAAATCAATTTGAATTTATTCCAAAATTAATTCAAAATTAATTCAAAATTAATCCAAAATTAATTCAAAATTAATTCAAAATTAACTCAAAATCGATTCAAAATTAATTCAGATTTAGTTCTAAATTAATTCAGATTCAGTTCAAATTTAATTCAGATATATTTCAAATTTAATGAAGATCTAATTATTTCAAATTAAATTCGAATTTAATGGAGATTTAACAAAGATTTAATTCAAATTCAAATTCAGACATAAATTCAAATTCAAATTCAAATTCAAATTCAAATTCAAATCTAAATTAATTTAAACTTCATTCCAAATTTAAATTCGCATTCAAACCAGTTTCAATTTCAAATTAATTTCAAATTCAAATTAATTTCAAATTCAAATCAACTTCGAATTCAAATCGATTTCCAAATCAAAATCAAAATCAAATTCAAATTAATTTCATTTTGAAGATAATTCAAAATTCAAATTTAAGTTAATATCAAATTCAAATTCAAATTCAAATTCAAATTAACTTCATATTCAAATATATATCAATTTCAAATTCAAATTTAATTCAAATTCAAATTTAATTCAAATTCAAATTCAAATTCAAATTCAAATTCAAATTAATTCGAAATTCAAATTAACTTCAAATTCAAATTCAAATTAACTTCAAATTCAAATTCAAATTCAAATTAACCTCGAATTCAAATTCGAATTAATAAAATGGATTTAAAATTAATTCAAATTTAGTTCAACTTCAATTCAGATTTATTTCAAAATTAAATCAAATTCAATTCAAAGTTAATGAAGATTCAAATTCAAATTCAAATTCAAACTCTGATTTAATTCAAATTCAAATTCAAATTTAAATTCAAATTCAAATTCAAATTAATTTCAAATTCAAATCAAATCAAATTAAATTAAATTCAAACTGAATTCAAATAGATTTCGAATTGCACTTAATTCAAATTAAATTCAAACTAAGTTCAAATTGAATTAAACTCAAATTAAACTCAGACTAAATTCAAATCAATTTAAATCCAAATTGAATTCGAATTAAACTCAGTTTAAATTCAAATTAAATTCAAATTAAATTCAAATTAAATCCAAATTTTATTCGAATTAAACTCAAATTAAATTGAATTCAAATTCAATTCAATCCAAATCCAATTCAAATTCAATTCAACTTCAATTCAAATTCAACTTCAATTCAAATTCAGATTAATTTCAAATTAATTTCAAATTCAAATTTAAATTCAAATTCAAATTAATTTTAAACTCAAATTCAAACTCAAATTCAAACTAATTTCCAACTAATTCCAAATTCAAATTCAAATTCAAATTAATTTCAAACTCATATTCAAATTCAAATTAATTCCAAATTCAAATTCAAATTCAAATTCAAATTAATTTTAAATTCAAATTCGAATTCAAATTAATTTCAAATTAATTTCAAACTCAAATTCAAATTCAAATTCAAATTAAGTCCGAACTCATATTCAAATTCAAATTCAAATTAATTTGAAACTACCTTCAAATTAATTTAAAATTAACTTCAAATTTAAATTTAAATTTGAATTTAAATTTAAATTTGAATTTAAATTTGAATTCAAATCTAAATTAACTTCAAATTAATTCCAAATTCGAATTTAAATTAATTTCAAATTCAATTCAGAAAGTGGAGCTGAATGAGAGGCAGGGGCTGATTTAACTGAACCCGAATTTAATTTAAATTTAATTTAAATTAAATTTAAATTAAATTTAAATTTAATTTAAATTTAATTTGAATTTAATTAAAGTGACATTTAAATCTAAATCATAAATTCAATTTCATTTTCAATTTGAATTCAACTTAAATTCAAATTTTAATTCAAGTTCAAAATTTCCAACATTTAAAAGTGCACAAAAATGATTTCCCAGGATGAAAAGAAGTCCCAATTCAAATTAAATTAAATTAAATTAAATTGAATTAAATTCAAATTAAATTAAATTAAATTAAATTAAATTCAAATTAAATTAATTTCGAATTAAGTTTACTCCAGATTCAATTCAAATTAAATTAAATTCAAATTAAATTAAATTCAAATTAAATTCAAATTAAATTAAATTCAAATTAAATTACATTCAAATTAAATTTAAATTTAATTCATTTATGATGAAAGCAAATTCAGCAGAGGCTTTAATTAAAACCCACTTCGTTGAATCAAATTCAATTCAAAATTCAAATTGCGATACTCAGACCTCAATTTAATTCAATTCATTTTAATTTAATTTAATTTAATTTAATTTTAATTTAATTTGAGTTGCGAGGAGGGCTCGCTTTAGGGTTTAGGGTTTAGGGTTTAGGGTTTAGGGTTTGACCTGGAGGTTGAGGTAGTCCACCGCTCGCTCCCTGTTGGTCAAGTAGGCCCTTTCTTTCATTTTAATGTTCACTTTGCCCCAGTGCAGGGTATCGGCAGGGCTGCCTCAGGGCTAGGGTTTAGGGTTTAGGGTTTAGGGTTTAGGGTTTAGGGTTTGACCTGGAGGTTGAGGTAGTCCACCGCTCGCTCCCTGTTGGTCAAGTAGGCCCTTTCTTTCATTTTAATGTTCACTTTGCCCCACCAAATGGAGTCAGCGCTCGAGGGCTCTTCGACGATTCTTTTGTCCGCTGGCGAGCGCCCCGTCTTGAGTCCTGAGAGCAGCAATTCAGAACTTGAATTCTGAACTTTTTCTTTCTTTTTTCTTTTTTTTTCTTTTCTTTTTTTTGTTTTTTGTTTTATTTTTTGTTTTATTTTCTTCTTTTTGGCTTTTAGTTTTGTTTGAGTCGGGGTGGTTGGGATTCGGCTCGAGCGGCAGCCAGAATGGTCTTTTTGCAAATTCAAAAACGGAATTTGTGCAAGTTGAAAGTGCAGCACAACAGCAAACACGAACCAGCATATTAAAAACAAAAACAAAACAATTTAATTTTTAAAATGGATTTCCTGGATTTGAAATCACCATTAAAATGCAACTCTCTTGAGAATTTGTTGGGTTTTGAACTCGTTTATTTTCACCGACTCGTGCACAATCTTAAATCGAATTCATTCACTCATTTATTTATTTATTTATTTATTTATTTATTTATTCATTTATTTATTTATTCATTTATTTATTTATTTATTTATTTGTTATTTGCTGATTCAAAGGGCCTTTCTCGCTGGCATTTATTCTCAATTTCGCGCTTTCCACTTTCTGCGCACTGCCGCCAGCTGTCTGTACACCCCAGCTGCCCGCGCGCGCGCCGCGGAAACTCGGAAGTTTTCATTTCTTTTTTTTGCATTTTCGCGGAAACTCGGAAGTTTTCATTTCTTTTTTTCCTTCTCGACTTTATCTCGAAAGTTTTCACTTCTTTTTTTTGCATTTTCGACTTTTTCTCGAAAGTTTTCATTTCTTTTTTTTGCATTTTCGCGGAAACTGGAAAGTTTTCATTTCTTTTTTTCCCTTTCGACTTTTTCGCACCTGAGGAGACGCAGAGAGCCCCAGTGTTGGAAATGAAACTCATGGGCTCGTGCTTTAGAGCTTCTTCGTACAAGATCGCCGGACTTGTGTTGTGGAAGAGGTGAGCCACTTTGATGCCTTTCTGCAGACAGCAGCAAACAATGCAAACTTGGAAAGAAATTCAAATAATAAAAAGATTTAAAATGGTATTTTCGGAAAAGATAAAAGAAAAGAAATTCAAATAATAAATAAAGATTTAAAATGGTATTTTCGGAAAAGATAAAAAAGAAAAGAAATTCAAATAGTAAACAGATGCAAAATGGTATTTTCGGAAAAGATAAAAAAGAAAAGAAATTCAAATAATAAATAAAGATTTAAAATGGTATTTTTGGAAAAGATAAAAGAAATTAAAATAATAAATAAAAGATTTAAAATGGTATTTTCGGAAAAGATAAAAGAAAAGAAATTCAAATAATAGACAGATTTAAAATGGTATTTTCGGAAAAGATAAAAGAAGAAATTCAAATAATAAATAAAAGATTCGAAATGTTATTTTCGGAAAAGATGAAAGAAAAGAAATTCAAATAATAAGTAGAAGATTTAAAATGTTATTCTCGGAAAAGATGAAAGAAAAGAAATTCAAATAATAAATAAAAGATTCAAGATGTTATTTTCGAAAAAGATAAAAGAAAAGAAATTCAAATAATAAATAAAAGATCTAAAATGTTATTTTCGGAAAAGATAAAAGAAAAGAAATTCAAATAATAATTAAAAGATTTAAAATGTTATTTTCGAAAAAGATAAAAGAAAAACAAAAAAAGAATCTCCAGAATGGATTAAATGGGAAAAGAAATCATTTATCAACACGACCATTTAGTCTCCACTCCGAGCTTTATTCAGGAGAATAAAAAATTAAAATTTATTTAAATAAATTTTCATTTGCAAGAAAAAGAAATTAATTTTAAGAAATTAATTTAAATAATTCATCATCAAAATGTTGAACAAAAGCAGCTGGAGAGCCTTCTTTAAATCCTAAGGAAGCAGCAGCAGCAAACGCTTCTGCAGCTGCTGCTGCTGCTGCGTCACTTCTTTGCTGCTGTTGCAGCAGCAGCAGCAGCAGCAGCAGCAGCAGCAGCTCCC